GGAGTCAGACATCCGCTAACCTCCGGGGCCCCATTATTCCCCAGGACCCAACATGCCTGAGCCCCAGGGCCAGGTAGCAGCTGTCCCCCACATGAGGACACCCATGTCCACGAGGGGCCGGCCTCACCGTGGCCCCCATGATTCAGCGTGGGTCAGCCTTGGTGGCCCAGGCCACTCTGTCCATCTGCGAGCAACAAGAATAGGAAGGTGGCCTCGTGTGCCCAGCTAGGGGTGACCCTGAGACTGGTTATCAGCCCTGGGGCCCAAGGCTCCATCACGCTGGCTCCAGAAGCTGTCGCTGGCCCTGCTGGGGAATCCAACAGGAGGGGTTAACTCCCTCTTCTGCTGCCCTGTGGGCAGTGGCGGCCCATTTTACAGACGAGGAAAGTAAGGCTCACAGCCCAGGCTGAGAACGCTCCTGCCGTGCCCCCAGCCCATAAATCCACGCTTAAGACCTCTCTTTTTGTGAACCAAAGCTTGATCCTTAGTAAATATTTTTCTTTGATATTTTTTTCATCCTCACTGCAGGGATAAGGACAAAACCAGAAAAGTATAAACGAAAAAATTTAGATTACCCAGACCCCACCCCCTGGGCGTAACAACAGACCATTTTCCTGCCATTGTTTGCGGTGGCTTCTGTAGGCAGTTATTTTTTAAATGGGATTGTATTGCTTTCTCCTAACACAAGTGTGCTGCATCTTTAAGCATTCTCTGGAAGCTTCTCCCCTCCTCAGGGGGCCCAGAGGGGGCCCCGGGAGAGGCCGCAGGAAGGTTACCCAGCAGGCTGGCCAGGGCTCTGGTGTACATCCTGCAGCCCCCACTAGGGCGGCGCTGTAGCAGGGCAGGCAGGCCGGGGCCCTTCTACATCGGTCCAGCTGCGTCCACCCTGCCCACCACCCAGCCTCCCCAGGCCACAGGCAGGGAGGGTGAAGTGGGCCTGCCCTGGAACCCTAACATTTGCCAGGTTCCACAGCCTCCAGGACCACCCCGAACCCCCAATCCTGCTGACTAACAATACACGTCAGCCTATCATGGCCTCCAGCAGAGGTGGGGGCTGGGCTCACACTTGCCTCCTCGGGTCTCTGACCAGTGGGTCCTGCTTACAAGGTGAACTCCCCTCTGAGGTGGACCCTGGCCTACCACACAGGCGACCTACTGCTGGTGGGACTCGGGGCCATGGGTGAGCTTGGACTCAGGACTGACCAGCCAGGGTGGCAGGTGCACAGGCTGGGAGGGCCCACCCCGCCCCCTAGGCTCCCACTGGGCCACCTCGCACAGGTGGCCGCGGACCCCGTCTCGGAGATGTGCCCACGGCAGGCCCCCCCCCCCCCGATCTGAGCAGCTCTGTCCTCTTCGCCCACAGGCTGCGCAGCCCCTGGGTGCCCTCCTGCCTTGGGCAGCCCCGCGTCCTGCCGGGCCGACTGGCCAGGTCCTCGCCCTCGCTCTGGGACAGGTAACATGCCTGTTGTCTCCCTGGGCCCCCGGGGTCTCTGCATCTGTCCCCAGACAGAGAGGGAAGGGTGACCGACACCAGCACACCTTCACTGCCCGTCCAGCGCCGGCGTCTCGGGGTGAGGCCCTGGAGCTGCACAGCGCATGCTCCCTCCGCCCCCGCGGGCTCTCGCCTTGGCCCAGGCCTCTCCCGAGTGGCAGGAAGGGGCTCCTGAGGGAGCAGGAGGGGGCTCCTCCAGGTCCCACTCTGCCCAGGGGGCTTGTCGCTGTTCCCTGGGCCAGGAGGAAACTGACGGGCACCTGCCCACCCAACACCCGCCCGCCCCCACACACCTGTCGGGTTAGGTTCAGATCCTTCAACTCCCGGCGCTCAGGTGACGTCAGGTGACGTCACGGGGCCCAATCTGAGCAGGGCTTTCCCAGCCCCACACCTGGAAGGGTGGCCCTGATCGGGGCCATGGCATTGGAGGGACCTCCACGTCCTCCTGGTGCATCTAGGGGTCTGTTTCGGGGCTCCAGGGCCCAGAGCCAACGCCCACCCAGGGGGTGGAGAGCTGCTGAGCCCCGGCTGTGCACCCCCACATTCCCAGCGGCCTGGAGGCCCCCTCCACACCGGCCTGCCTCTGGCACCAGGGACCACAGTGACAGCCCTGCTCCCCGAGGGCGGGTGCCCCGTGTGGGGACATGGAGACAGGCTGAGGCCAGGCAGGGCGTGGGTGCCCTGGGAGGGGAGGGCCATTCCTGGAGCCGACCAAGGAGGGACATGTCCGCAGCTTCCGAGCAGCCTAGCCCCAGGACGTGGTGATGGGCCGTGAGGGGCAAAGGGCAAGGAGGGTCGCCACAACCTTTCAGGGTCTGGCTGGGCACTGAGGGTGGCCTGCCCCTCCCGGGAGAGTGGTCAGCACTGGACACGCTGAGTGGGAGCTGCTTGTGGGCTGTCCGGGTGGAGAAGCCAGTGGGCGGCTGGACCCGGGGAGTGGAGCCCAGAGAGGCGCGGGCTGGAGACGGAGCCCTAGGAGGAGTCCGTGCGGGGTTGGGCGCGGGTGCAAACCGGGGCCCTGAGGGCCAACCTGGGCAGGTCAGGGGGTCTGCAGACGAGACAGTCGGGGTGGCATCGATGGGGCCACGCGGTGTGCACCGGGGAGGGCCAGCGTGGGAGTTTGCTGTGACTGCGGGTCCCGGGTGGTGACAGGTAGTGGGGCCAGGAGGGGCAGTCAGGGGCTGGCCAGGGTGCTGCTTGGGGTGGCTGGGTGTCAAGGGCTCAAGGAGGGTGGAAACACCGCCTGAGGGTTGGTGGGACAGCCCGCCCAGTGTGTCTGGACATTCATCCAGAGGCCAAGGGTACACAGGCTCAGAAGGGGGGCTCCGTGACACTGGGTGCTTCGAGTGGGAGGCCAGGGCCCAGGGGCCCCTTGGGCGGTCCCGGCTGTGCCCAGAGCCCACCTCACAGCTCTGTCATATCTTCCTCCCACACTTCTCGTTGCTGAACCTGTTCCCTTTTCATTGTGTCTCCCCCGAGACCACAGGTTCCGTGGGGCGGAACCGTTTGTCTCCTTTGCTGCTGTGAGGTGCTGGGAACGAGGCGGGACCAGCGGGAGGGAAGGACAGAGGGGGACAGTGGGTGCGCTGTAGGTGATGCTGCTGGGTCATGGCAGGAGTGGGCAGGGTGCGTGCCGGCGGGGTCCCAGCTGTTCTGCAATGGCTGGCCAAGTGGGGGAGGAGCAGTGGCTGGCTCTGAGAGGCAGGAGTAGGGGTGCTGTGGGGCACCCCGGGGATACCAGGATGGGGTAGGGCTGGCGTGAGGGACACAGTGAGCTGGGATTGCAGGTCTCAGAAGTGTAGGGTCTAGAGGCTGGTCAGTGATGGCTCAGGAGTGTGGCTAGAGGAGGGGAGGACTCAGGGCTCAAGTGGCCACTGGGGTGGATGGATGATGCCCTCGCCTCTTCCCAAGGGTACAGACCCCATCTGTGCCTGTGACCAGGAGCTGCCATAAACCTGCAGCCCTGCAGGAGGAATGACTTCAGGGGCTGCTGCACCCCCACCACCACTGTGCCTGCAGGGGGCCCTGGATGACCTGGGAGAGCCCCCGGGAAGCTGGACACCCTCTGGAGACAGGCCTGGCCCAGGGCAGTCTGGGATCTGTAGCAGCAGGGTGTTAGGGTGGGACAGTCAGGCTTGCTGCCTGGAGGAGGCGACACACCTGTGGGCAGCCCTGCCTCTGGCTCTCTCCTTGTCACTCTGCATCCTCCGTGGGGACTGACTCCTGGGAGGATCTGCCCCGCCCTTCTCTGAGGTTCTCAACGTATAGGCAACTCTTTACTTATTTTTTAAAATATAGACCTGAGCAGAAACCCAAGAATGCTTATCAAAGTTTGCTGGGTGTGTGCCCGCAGTAAAGCATGTGGTTGACACACAGGACCTGAGACTGAGGACAGCTCGGCCCCAGGCCGCTCCTGCCGCTACTCCCCTCCCTCAGGCCGGGGTCTGGGGGGTCCCAAGAGCACAGGCTCTTACCCAAGGTCCCACAGCACATCTGGTAGTGGCAATGTGACACCTGGGCACTTTCCTCCTGTACCCCCCACCCTGAAGCAGGAACAGTCCCTTGCTCTGTCCCAGCCCCACAGCAAACCCACCAGAAGTCACCCAAATGGGTGGTGGCACTGAGTGGTCCCTTGGGGATGTGTGCTCCTTCCTAGGTCACCCCTCAGACCTGGGCAGAATTCTTCTCGGACCAGGGCTTTGTGTCCACAGGGCAAGATGGGGACAGTCCTCACTTCCCAGGGGGAAGCATGCGGTTCAGAGGGTGGATCATTCCAGGTCTCTGGTTTCCTGAGTGTCAGGGCTCAGTGTCCTGGGTCCTAGAGGAGCTCCCAGTCTGTGGGAAAAAGAGCCTCCAGAGCCAGGCCTGGGGCTCCGGAAGGCTTCCTGGAGGAAGGGGCACACCAACAGACCCGGGCTTTGCTGAGTGCCCCATGCTGTGTGCAGCTAGCTGGCCAGCATTGTGGACAAGGGGCATTCCTACCCACCGCTCCCTGGCCCACACAGCCTGCTGGGGCCACACAGCCAACTTGGGGAAGGGAGGATTGGTTCAGGGCAGGGCACTGCCACCTCTGGGCCACAGTGTCCCCACCCAGTGCTGCAGAGGAGCAAAAGTGGGAGCCCTTGTACGATGTGCCATCCAGAAGTCGGCTGAATGAGCCTGGGTGCTGTTGGACACTCTTATCCAGGGTCCTGTCAGGCGTCCCAAACACTGGCCAAGTTCAGTGGTCAACGAGGTGACACGCCAGGGATTTACTTCTGCCGGGCTCAGCTAGAGGCACAGGGACTGCGGGGACCACACCAGCTTAGAGTCAGAGTCACCCTCGGCCTCGAGTGCCGCCCGCTGGGAAGGGTGTGGGTGTGCACGCGCGCACGCGCGCAAGCACGAGTGTGTGAGTGCAGCCGGGAGCACGCGGTGCGCACGCACGGCGCGCCCGGCTGGCCCGCACGGGCCTCAGTTTCCCCGGGCTCAGCGCCGCGGCCCGGCCCGCCGCCGCGTGTCGTTGCAGCGCGCTGCAGGAGCAGAAGGGCGAGCTGCGCAAGCGGCTGTCCTACACCACGCACAAGCTCGAGAAACTCGAGACCGAGTTCGACTCCACGCGCCACTACCTGGAGATCGAGCTGCGGCGCGCGCAGGAGGAGCTCGAGAAGGTCACGGAGAAGCTGCGCAGGTCAGGGGCGGGGCCGGGGCGGGGCCGGGCCGAGGGGCGGGGCCGGGCCGAGGGGCGGGGCCGGGGCGGGGCTCACAGAGCTGCGGCTCCAGAGCTGTCTCCCATCGCAGCTGGGGCCTCTATTCCAAGATGGGGGGTCCAGGGCCCAGGGAGGGTGAGCTCTTTGTCCAAAGTCGCACTTGGTTACAGGAGCTACTGAACCAGGACCCGAACCTGGGTCTGGCCACTGCGAGGGACAGGCTCCTTCCAGCTGCCTCCCTCTCCTGCTCTTTCCTTCTCGCGTGCTGATTTGGTGGGGCGGCAGCATGACACAGAAGCCGCCATCTCCAGACCCCAGCTGTCCCTCCAGGGCCCCAGCCACTGTGCTCTGAGTCCCTGATGGGAAGGGGTTAGGGACAGTTTCCCGAAACAGCATGGCAGTGAGTGAAGTGCCTGGTGAGGTGTGGGGACTCTGCGTAATTACTCCCTGAAAAACCCAACTTTTCTCAAAGCACTGTTTTTCCGCACATTTAAGATGGATATTTTTCTGAAACGTATTACACTTTTCCAGCCTTCCCTTACGAAGAATGCGAACTTTGATGTTGGCTTGGGTTCTTCTTTTTAAGATCTTTTGTTGATTTTTAGAGAGAGAAACATTGATGTAAGAGCAAAACATCGATCGGCCACCTCCTGCACACGATCGAGCCACAACCCGGGCACGTGCCCCGAGGGGAACTGAATCTGCAACCTTTCGGTGCACGGACAGTGCCCAGCCGACCGAGCCGCACCACCAGGGCTCGACTGCCTTTAACTATCTGTAGCGCATAGTGGCTGGTGCTGCCCAAGACAGGATTCGCCAGGGAGGCTGTTTGTCCCTCCCTGGATGGCCCCATCCTGCTGGACCGTTTGAATGTCACCATAGAGTCGTGGGGGAACCAAGCTTGGACAGCCAGTCAGACCTTGGTTAAAGTCCCAGCTCTGCCTCAGCTTTAAGCACCTCTAGGCTCAGTTTACCCAATGTCAGCAGGGCAGTAACATTAAACACAGGTTGTCGAGAGGGCTGTCACCGTCCCAAAGCCCTTCACCGTCACACTCACTCTATGGCAGCAATGGAGGCACAGAGCACCCGGCTCCTACCCAGCACTGGCCTCCACTGTCACCCTGACCCCAGGAGACCAGGCCGTATCACCCGGTGTCGCCGGCACTCACCCCAGGGCCCATCACACAGTCTTAAGTCTCTTGCCAGCTGATCTGCTGTTGAGCAGAAAGCCCTTGGCCAGGCTTGTGAGCGCTGCGTGTTCGATGAGTAAACCGGTTCCGAGGGAGGACCCTGCAGTCGCTTGTGAATAACAGGCCTTCCCTTCTGTCTCCAGGGGCCCTGGCCTCCAAGTTAGCTTTACTCAGAGGCTTTCTGCTGCGCCTGGAGGAGCAGTTAGACCAGGGTGGGGCCAGCGGGTGGGCTCAAGGGGCCTCTGTTCGGCCGGGCCCTGCTCAGCAGGCTGTGGCCACGGGGGTCATGGGAGCACCAGACCTGGCATGGCAGTGGCCCCATTGCCCTGTTCCAGGATCCAGACAAACTACATGGCGCTGCAGAGGATCAACCAGGAGCTGGAGGACAAGCTGTACCGCATGGTGAGGGCCACCCCCAATGCCCACTGCCCCGCCCAGCACCCCACCCTGGGCTCCCAGCTCTGGTGGGGCATCGTCAGCCTAGCTGTTATCCCCTTGCCCAGGCAGGAGCTGGGTCACAGGCCTTATTTCCTGACACCTCCCGCCAGGGCTGGGCCTGTCCCGCCCTTTCTGCACTGAGTGGGAGGGTGGTCTTGGGACCCTGTGAGCCCCAGCCACAGGTGTGAGCATGCGGCCTGGCAGCAGGTCAGTGTGCTGGGGACAGTGACCCAGCTCAGCATCAGCCCAGAGATGCAGGTGGGAGGACAGAGGCCTGAGTTCAGGTGCTGAGTGAGCCAGAGCCGGGTTCAAGCCTAGACTGCCCCCCTTCCCGTGGCCCCGGGCAGAGACCTGTGCACGCCTTTCCTCCCTGACCCCCGGCCAGACCTCGGTGTGGAGAACAGGACAGGCGACGGTGGGCCTCCTGGCGCTCTCTGGCTTGGAGAAGGCTTCTAGAGCCATCCAGGAGGGCTGGGTGGGTTCTGGGGTCTCCCCCTCACCTCCGTGGGAGGACTTTCCTCTTTCTGGTTTGGTTACCAGCTTCTTGTACATCAGAAATGGGTGTTCGGCACCTGTCTGCCTTCAAGGTGCGTCAGAGCGACAGCAGGCAGGCCTGGGCTGGCTCTGCCCTGGACCCTGGACAAGGGCCCTTTCCTTTCTGAGCCTCAGTTTCCCAAGTGGGCCCGGCTTTGTGCTGAGTGCAGGCCTCCTCACTCAGCCTCACCCCAGCGCCCAGGAGGCCAGACGCTGCAGATGAGAAACCCAGGCTCAGGGAGGCAGTGCCTTGCCCGAGGCCATGTGGCTTGTCGGGGGTGGGGCAGGATTTGAACCTGGGTGGGTCTGTGCTCTAACCTTGTCATCATGGGCTGCACGAGGGCACACAGGAAGCCTGAGGGACAGCGGGGCTTGAGCCCCAGGTCTTGGCTGATGGCTGACCTCCTGCCACCGCCCTTCTCCCCGCCGCAGGGCCAGCACTACGAGGAAGAGAAGCGAGCTCTGAGCCACGAGATCGTTGCCCTCAACAGCCACCTGCTGGAGGCCAAGGTGACCATCGACAAGCTGTCGGAGGACAATGTGAGTGATGGGTCATTCTGACCCTGAGCGGCCCAGACTCAGGTTTGAGGGGCTGGCACAGGACGGGTGGGGAGGGGGTCAGGGCCTCAGGGAGTGCCCAGGCAGCCAGGTTTGAGGGGCTGGCACAGGACAGGTGGGGGGAGGGCGCGGTCAGGGCCTCAGGGAGTGCCCAGGCAGCCAGGTTTGAGGGGCTGGCACAGGACAGGTAGGGGGGTCAGGGCCTCAGGGAGTGCCCAGGCAGCCAGGTTTGAGGGGCTGGCACAGGACAGGTAGGGGGTCAGGGCCTCAGGGAGTGCCCAGGCAGCCAGGTCTGAGGGGCTGGCACAGGACAGGTAGGGGGGTCAGGGCCTCAGGGAGTGCCCAGGCAGCCAGGTCTGAGGGGCTGGCACAGGATGGGTGGGGAGGGGCAGTTCAGGGCCTCAGGGAGTGCCCAGGCAGCCAGGTTTGAGGGGCTGGCACAGGACAGGTAGGGGGGTCAGGGCCTCAGGGAGTGCCCAGGCAGCCAGGTTTGAGGGGCTGGCACAGGACAGGTAGGGGGGTCAGGGCCTCAGGGAGTGCCCAGGCAGCCAGGTCTGAGGGGCTGGCACAGGATGGGTGGGGAGGGGCCTCAGGGCCTCAGGGAGTGCCCATGCAGCCAGGTCTGAGGGGCTGGCACAGGATGGGTGGGGAGGGGCAGTTCAGGGCCTCAGGGAGTGCCCAGGCAGCCAGGTTTGAGGGGCTGGCACAGGACAGGTGGGGGGAGGGCGCGGTCAGGGCCTCAGGGAGTGCCCAGGCAACCAGGTTTGAGGGGCTGGCACAGGACAGGTAGGGGGGTCAGGGCCTCAGGGAGTGCCCAGGCAGCCAGGTCTGAGGGGCTGGCACAGGATGGGTGGGGGGGTTCAGGGCCTCAGGGAGTGCCCAGGCAGCCAGGTCTGAGGGGCTGGCACAGGACAGGTAGGGGGGTCAGGGCCTCAGGGAGTGCCCAGGCAGCCAGGTTTGAGGGGCTGGCACAGGACAGGTAGGGGGGTCAGGGCCTCAGGGAGTGCCCAGGCAGCCAGGTTTGAGGGGCTGGCACAGGACGGGTGGGGGAGGGGCAGTCAGGGCCTCAGGGAGTGCCCAGGCAGCCAGGTCTGAGGGGCTGGCACAGGACGGGTGGGGGGTTCAGGGCCTCAGGGAGTGCCCAGGCAGCCAGGTCTGAGGGGCTGGCACAGGATGGGTGGGGAGGGGCAGTTCAGGGCCTCAGGGAGTGCCCAGGCAGCCAGGTCTGAGGGGCTGGCACAGGATGGGTGGGGGGGTTCAGGGCCTCAGGGAGTGCCCAGGCAGCCAGGGAAGCACGGGGCTGCCTCACCGGACACACTGTCAGGCAGCCTGAGAGGAGACAGGACTCGAGGTCGGAAACACTGGGCCACATTTCTCCTTGAAGTCAGAGCTTCCTGACCCCAGGGCTGGGGCACTGCACTCTCAGGGAGCATCACAGCCATGTGGCTGCCCACGGGGACTGATTTCAAGGGCCCGGGGAGATGGATCCCTGGCCACTGACCACACAGTCACTGAGTAGTGTCTGCTCCTTGCCAGACCCTACCGGGCTCCCAGACTCGCATGAACACAGGCACAGAATTCCCTGCCCACGTGGACTTTCCATGAGTGGGCAAGACAGATGGTAAACACGAGAAGTTCGCAAACTCTGGTGTGTTGGAAGAGCTAGAAGTTACCGAAAAAATCAAGCAGGGAACGGCGCTGGGGAGCTGCCAGTTGTAGGGTTAGCAGATTTCCGTGAGATGCTTCTGGAAGAGGACGCTCCCCCAAAGGGTGAGGGAGCTAGCTTCATCCCATGGGCCGTCCGGGGATGAGTGGCTGATTTGAGGAACAGCAGAGGGACCAGAGTGGGCTCTTAGCGGGGGAGGAGCCGGGGTCCGAGGTCAGAAACATAACGGGAGACCACACTGTCTAGGCTCCGCCAGGGATCTGGGTTTTATTCTGAGTGAAATGGGGAGCCACTGAAGGTTCTTGAGCAGAGGAGTAAGTGGTTGGGTGTCCCACTTTCACTGGGCACACATGACTGCCCTGCTGAGAATACTCTGTAGGGATGAGGGTGGGCGCAGGGAGAGCGAGGGGCGGGGTATGGCAGCAATCCGGGATGGCAGCCGTGGAGGGGGCAGAAGGGCTTGGGTTCTGGTTCTGTTTTGAAGATGGAAGGAGGCAACGGGATTGACAGAGACCGTGGACATGGGTGTGAGAGAAGGAAAGGGGTCCTGCCATTTCCTGGGCAGGGGGCACCTGGGGAGGTGCGGAGGTGGCTTCAGCAGCTCCGTCCCATGGTGATGCCCTGAAGGCAGCAGACATGCCGGGTCGGAGGTCACCAAGGAGTGCACTCCGATGAGAAGAGGGCGGGCCCCAGGACAGGCTGGCTCTCAAGTCTGCTAAAGAGTCCGTGGCAGATCGAGGCTGGCCAGGTGGTGCCCACAGCCCTCTGATGCCAGGGGCAGCCTGTCTGGAGCCTCACAGCGGGGTCTGTTCTCAGTTCTCAGCCAACTGTGCCCTTCCCAAGGGCCCAAGGAGGTCTTGAGGGGGCTGGGGACCCAGGTTCCCTCTACTGTACAGGCTGAATTAGGGCACCAGCCTCAGCACAGCAGGTGGAGGGGAGGGGGACCAGGGTGGGGGAATAGCAGGGGTGGCCCCGCCTTCAGAAGCTTGGCTAAGCTGCAGGACACCCAGTCCTGGTGGAGCTGGGCCTGTCGGTGGACCCCAGACCCGGCGGTGTCCAGGCTGCCACTGTGGAGGGTCCCTGGATGGGGGTGGGAATCAAAGGCCCAGCGCAGGCACATGCAACAGAGATTCTCCAAAGGCAAAGCCAAATCCCCTAATTCCTACTGTTTGCATCTGTTTTCAGCTCAGGAGGCTGAGCGGGTCCCCACCTGGACCTTGGGTCACACGGCCCCTGTGCCCCCACTCGCCCTGGCCCAGTCCTGCACTCTGAGAACAGGGGTGTGAGAGGGGAGTCTGAGAGGTGGGGTGGCAGGGGCAGCAGGCTTGGGTCTGTCCCTCGTGGTGCCGCACTGGCCACCGAGCTCTCTGCAGGGACTCCGGTCTTTGTGCCTGGGGCCTCCGGAGTTCAGGGGCCATTAGGATCCCTTCTTCCACCACTGCCCCCACCTGGTGACAGGTTCCCCCCTGGGCAGCGCAGGCTCCTCCACGCACCAGCAGCTCCAGGTCAGAGCTCAGGCCCGGTTCTGCAGGCAACAGCATGAGGCCCGGGGAGGGTCTTTGTTCTGCCAACTGCACATGGGCACTGCCCACCAGTTTCCGGTCAGGGTGGCAGGGACCCTGGCGGGGCAAGCCTGGCCCAACGCCTTCTCTTGTCTTTTAGGAGCTCTATAGGAAGGACTGCAATCTAGCGGCCCAGCTGCTGCAGTGCGGCCAGACCTACGGCAGGGTCCATAAGGTGTCCGAGGTAACGTGAGCCCTGTCCAGCCAGGCTCCTCGGTTCAGGTCCCGCCCCACGGCCCCTCCCCACCCACTCTTGAGGGACAGACGCTGGGTGAGCCTGAGCCCCTCCTAGTGCTGCAGTGACCGGGACTTCCTGAGACACGGTGGCAGGCCCCCCTGGGGCATGCACACCTCACCCTCCTGGACAGCTGCATATCACCCTCGGTGTCCTTGGGGGCTGCTCCTTGTCCCTGTTCCAAACCCCCTCTACTCAGCCACCCTCTGTGAACCTCAAGGAACCCGACGGTCTGCTCTGGGCACAAGTACTGACTGCCCGTTTCAGAGGCCGGAGAACTGGCTGCACATGGAAGTGACAGCCAAGGTCACAGGGCGCTCTCGTGCCACATTCAGGCTGGTCCGGGCCCCGCCCCCCAGGCTGCCCCTCCACTCCACACACTCTGCACACCCAGGCCCCTGTCCTTCTCTCTGAACCCTGGGCCTGGGCCACACCTGAGACAATCACAAAATAGATCAAACAGTAGCGGGATGTCCCCACAAGGCACTGGGTGCCGGGCCCTGGCCCTCAATCTTTGTTGCATATGTTTCTGAGTCTGTCTTGTTCAGGAGCACTTGGGAAGCAAGTCAGCCCCTCAGTGGGAAGAAGTGGGGGGAGGGGGCTGTAACCCCAAGAGGGGCCAAGTCAGACCCCGGTGCAGTGCCTGGGGCTCTGCAGGCCCAGTGGGAATGGGCTGGGGGGCCGAAGTGAATCCAGGAACATCCTGGGCCTGGCTCTAGATGGGGCCTTGTGAGAGGCTCTGGGTAGGTTCTTTTTGGTCCTTCTGTCCACATGGGTTGGTTCTAGGCTGACTTGACCCCTGTCCCCCTTCCCTCCTCCTCACCCCGCCTTGTTCCAGCTGCCCTTGGACTTCCAGGAGCGCGTGAGCCTGCACTTGGAGAAGCAGGGCTGCAGCCTGCCCTCCCCGCTCTGCCGCCCCGCCTACGCCGACAGCGCGCCCGCCTGCGCCATCGCCAAGGTGCTGGAGAAGCCCGACCCGGGCAGCCTGTCCTCCCACCTGTCGGACGCCTCCGCCTGCGACCTGGCCTTCCGCGACGGGACGGAGAAGCCGGGCCTGCGGCCCCCCTACAAGGAGGACGTCTACTGCAGCGACACGGCCCTCTACTGCCCCGAGGAGCCGCGGCGTGACCGGCGGCCCAGCGTGGACGCGCCCGTGGCCGACGTGAGCTTCCTCCGGGCGCAGAACTCCACCGACAGCGCAGCCGAGGAGGAGGAGGAGGCCGAGGCGGCGGCCTACCCGGAGGCCTTCCGGCGCGAGGCCTTCCTGGGCTACGCGGGCTCGCTGCCCACGTCCAGCTCCTACTCGAGCTTCAGCGCCACGTCGGAGGAGCGCGAGCAGGGCCAGGCCAGCACGCTGACCGCCTCGCAGCAGGCGCTCTACCTGAACAGCCGCGAGCAGCTCTTCCCGCGCCCGCCCGCCTGCCAGGGCAGCCTGCGCTTCGCCAAGGCCGCCCCCGCGCTGGCCGCCCCGCTGGAGGCCGAGGGCGCGCCCGGCTTCCGGCGCACCCTGTCGCCCTACCAGGCCGAGCCCTACCGCTTCCCGGCCTCCCCGGACCCGCACAAGACCCTGATGTCCCCAAACCTGTGGAGCCTGCGGGCCAAGCCGGGGTCGGCCCGGCTGCCCAGGGAGGACGCGCGTGGCCAGTGGCGGCCCCTGAGCGTGGAGGACATCGGCGCCTACTCCTTCCCGGCCGCGGGCAGCCGCACCTCGCCCCGCAGCTTCTCCGACCGCTACTACGGAGGGGGCTCAGGCCAGAAGGCGGAGGGCCACGCCGGCGCCCTCTACGCCAGCTACAAGGCCGACAGCTTCTCGGAGGGCGACGACCTCTCCCAGGGCGCCCTGGCGGAGCCCTGCTTCCTCCGGGTGGGCGCGCGTGCTGACTCCATGCCCAGCTACCCCGCCGGCGAGGGCAACGGGGAGAGGCTCCGGGGGCAGCTTCGCGGGGTGGCCGGCAGCCCCGAGCCCGAGCACAGCCTCCAGAGCTCCAGGGACTCCTTGGAGCCCAGCTCCATGGAGGCCTCCCCCGAAATGCACCCCGCCGCCCGCCTGAGCCCCCAGCCTGCCTTCCCGCGGACTGGGGGCTCGGGGCTCAGCCGCAAGGACAGCCTCACGAAAGCCCAGCTCTACGGCACCTTGCTCAACTGACCGCCTGCCTGCGGCCAAGGCCAGGGGCACCACACCCCCGCACCCCAGGGAGCCGCCCACCTGTCCCCACACAACCATCCCCCGCCCTGCCACAGACCCCTCTCCTCCAGGTAACCCAGTGCAGCCCAAGAAGAGGACTCCAGCACACGTGTCCCCAGCCCCCCACGACGGACCTTCGGGAGGAGTTTCTCACACACCGACATCTTTTCACACCCGAGATGAGCATTCCCCCCTTTTATAAAGCGAAACTATTTTTCTAGAGAAAAAGGGTCTTTCTTAACGCACTTGGCCTCCAGCTCCCTGGATGGCAGCCTTGCGTTTTCAACACAAAGCTCCTTTATTTTTCGGGTGAGGGTAAGTGGGGCCTGGCCCTTGGAGGGAAGGACAGTGTCCTGTGGAGACACCCAGAAAGCCAGTGACGAGGGCACCCTGAAGCTCTGTCCACAAGGGGAACTGAACGGGTGTAGGGATGTGAAACATTGTAAACGGTTTCCGCGTGTGGCTGACAGCACCCCCAGCTCGTCCGTGGTCCGTCGTCCTGAGTGGGGCCGGTGCTCGTCCCCCAGTGTCCCGCTCCCGGCACACCTGGCTCTACCTCAGACGTAATGAGGCTCTCCCGTTCCTGTGGCTCGCTTTCCTGTCGTCTGTGCTGCATGCCGTCTCGGTACTGTATTTTACATTCATTAATAAAAGACGTTGGTGGAAAGAGCTCGGGTTTGGGCTGTTTCTTCTCCCCACTGCCCTTTGATCTCAGGGACGTGGGCCCTGGGTGTCCACCCCCCTTGTCCTTCGCTGTCTGCGGCCAGGACCGGCTCCTCACAACTCTCCTTCCCCCACTTGGTGTCTTGTCCAGGGTTTGAATTCCTTCGCTGTCCTAATCCACCAGATGCTACTGTTGCCCTTTTATTCAATGTTCCCATATTTACAATCCGCTGCATGTCAGGCTTCACTCCTGCGTGCCCTTTAGTGGGGTCCCTAGTGTTTATTTCTCTGAGGAGGTCTCTGTTCTGCCCCAAGTTTGGAGGGTGTTCTCACTGGGGAGAAAGCCAGTTGGTGATGGCTCTCTGCACCCGGGGATGCCGTTTGCGCTGTCCCTCGTGGTGGTTGGGGACTGGCCGCCTGTCCCCGGGGAAGCTGCTCCTCAGGTGGTAATCTGCCTGTTCTCTTCGGACACTGACATCTTCCCTTTGACTTGGGTTTTCTTCCATTGCCCTGGGGTGTCTGGTTGTGGATTTGTCCTCAGGAATTCCCAAGGAGTCTTGTGTCTGTGGGCTGGTGTCTTTCATCAGTTCTGGAATACTCTCAGTTATTATTTAAACAGATATTTGTCTGCCCACTCTCCCCCTCCTCTCCTCCTCACTGTCGCCGCCTGGGCCCTCTCCGGATGACCCGTGCCCTGTCTGGCATACCGTCTCCACCAGGTCTCTCCCGTCGTGTCCTTTCAACTGCCAAACACAGCTGCTGAGTTTTACAGCTTAGTTGTGCGTTTGTTGTACAAACCACCCTGCTACTTGCCAATAGTTTCCATCTCCGTAGAGGTATTTCCAGGCTCATCTTTTATTTCCTTAAACACAGTGGGCACAGCGGTTCCCCACCTCGGTCTGGCACTTCTATCCTGTGGCATCTGTGGGTCTGTGGGTTCCTGCCCATGCCACCTGGTTTCTCCGTGTGCCTGGTTATCTTTGACGCCCCGAGGATGCAAGTGTAGGTTCTGCCAGACCTGGGTGGAGGGTCCTGCTCCAGGGCCCACTGTTCCCACTGGCACCACCTCGGCCTGTGCATGCCTTCAAGTTCCCTGGACACTCAGCTCCACGTGTCCGGGGTGGGTCTGCCTCTTGCCATGCAGCCCCCAGTAGGAGGGGCCTTGTTGTGGCTGCCAGTGTCCCTGCCCTTGACCTACCTCTGCAGAGGAGGCCTGAGCCGGCCCAACGGCCCCCCTTCTCGGCCAGATTCGCCCCAGGGAGCAGCCTCCCGGAGCCAGAGGGGGCTGTGGAGAGGCTCAAGAGTCCACTCCCCTCCCTGGGGCCATTTCCCATGGGCAGATGGAGGAAGTGACCCTCACTGAACTAGGGGCAACTGGGAGGGTGGAGGGGAAAACAGAAGCCCCTGGCACCCCGCGGGTGCTCTCTCAGAGGCCTCCCCACGGGGTCCTGCGCCTCGTCAGCCCCCCACCCGTGTCAACCATGCAACTAGGCGGCAGGGCTGAGAACCCTAAGGGCTAGGCAGCCTGGCCCAGAGGCCCTCTAAGATTCAGGGTCTGACCCCACACCACCTCCGAACCCAAGGCTCCCCTTGATGACCTCCAGACCTCACAGAGTGTCCTGCCATGGCCACCAGAGCCAGCAACAGCCGGTGTGTGGTGCCCTCCTCCACCAACCCCCGTCTCATTCCACTCGAAATCCTGCCACACCCAGGGAAACCCTGTCTGCACACCACCACCTACCACCCGTCCACGCACGTTCCAGCTCAGCCCCGCAGGGCAGTGCGGTGGGGCTCCGCCACCAGCCACCAGCTCGCTGTGGTTCTGGCAAGTCCCAGGCGCCTCTGGTCCAACTGCCCCTCTGGAGCCTGAGCACAGGGACTGGTGAGATTCCCAGGGGCCCCTACAGAGCCCCAGGCTGGGCCAGGGGGTTCCTGAGGGAGGGAACAGGCACAGGCTCTGGAGTAGGATGGCCAGGGGCTCATCCCTCTGCCCTAGGAGCAGCGGTTTCCTCCCCTGGCTGGAGGGGAGCAGCCCACCTCGCGGACTCCACTTGCAGGGGGGCGGAGTCTGACAGCACGCAGAGGAGGTGTTCCTCCCCTCGAGGCGGCTGCAGCTCAGAGGACAAGCGAGGTGAAGGTGAGCTCGGCCTACGATGATAGGGGTGGGCACAGCCCGCACTTCCTGTTCAGTCTTGCTCCACACTTTCTAAATTTAGCTGCTGCTTTTAAAATTGCGGGCGGTGAACTCCCATCCCGTGCACAGGACCAGAGCCAGCCTTTGAGGACGCTGTCTGAGAGCGTTTGGAGACACAGGCAGAGGTACAGCGCCCAGCCCCCACTCTTCCCCACCGAGTCGCCCCACCAAGGGAGGGGCTGGCAGGCAGCTGCACCTCCAGGGCACCGCGGCTTCTGGGGAGCCCTGGATGTCTCCCCGCACCATGGGGGCAGAGCTTTGGTCAGCTCAAGGTGACCAGCATGGAAAACAAGCGGACTGGAGGAGAGCTAGCTGACAGCAGCCTGGGCCTGGAACTCCCCCGCCCCGCCCGTGGGCCTCCTCCTCAGGTCCTCTGTGTGTGGTCACTGACTCCGCTGCTGGGGATGCCCTCACCAGCTCGCGCCTGCCTCCTCCAGGAAGCCTTCCGGGGCTGCAGGGACCCCTCTGCCCTGAGCCATGGCACCTGTAGTCCCGCCCCGTGGGTGGATCCTTGGGCTCTCGGGCAGCCCGTTACAGTCCCGGTGAGTTAAGTGGCAGCAGCCTGCCCAGGCCCCAGCAGCAGGGTCTTCCCAGCCCGACTCCTCGAGATTCCTCGAGGGCCCTGTGCTTCTCCGCGCCACTTCTCCACCGGGACGCATTCGCGTGGGCAGCACGCACACCTGGCGGGGCTGGGAGGCCCAGGGCCCCAGCGGGCTGTGCTTCGTGGGGAGGGGGAGGGGCCTGGGCCGGAGCAGCAGGGCCCGTGAGACTCGCAGTCCTGCCGGCTCCGGCACAGACTTCTGAGGACAGACCTGAGACCCGGAGCCCCCACTCCCGGGACCCCTGGTCGGGCCCCACCGCCGGCTCCCAGCATCTGCTCCGGAGCCCCAGGAGCTGCGAGTGGGGCGGCGAGAGGAACGCAACACTCGTCACTGACGGCACCTAAGGACAGCGACTCACGTTTACTGAGTCCCCGGCGGGACAGGTGCTCGCTGACACCCTCACGGCCCGAGACAAAGGTCCCTGTCCCCATTTCACAGAGGAGGGAACAGTCATAGGGTGGAGGCAGCTCCGCGCACCGGGGCTGACCTCAGTATTTAGTCCCACCCACCCCGAGGCAGGGGAGCCGGAGGTTCTGTGCAGACGCTCAGTGCCAGATCTTAATGTCGCCCTCCCAGGAGCAGGTGGCGAGGACGGAGGGCAGCACGGGGTGGAAGGTGGTGCCCACGCAGGCTTGCGTGTGCCCGTGCAGCGTGCGCGCTCGGCTGGCCGTGCGGAAGCAGTAGAGCAGGGCCCGGCCGTCAGCGCTGCCCGTCACCAGCAGGTCTCCGTCCGGGGAACACTCACAGCCCACCGAGTAGCCTTCCACCTGCAAAGAGGGACATGGGGTGAGCAGGCCCACAGCGGCCCTGCACACAGCCCCATCTGTGAGGTGGGAGTCATTTCATCCCTCCTACAGAGAGGCGGGCCAGGATCAGCGCCAGGGCACAGCCTGAGCTCCCCCTAGAGGCAGGGTCCTGGCGTGGACCACGCACAGGGCTGCTGCAGTGGAGTCCGGCTGGAACAGCTCCGGACAGCTGATGGGGTCCACCTGCCGGCAGTCACCAAGCCCCAGGCCCTGCACCCCAATGAGGCAGGCCTCCGTGAGGCAAGGGGGCAGAGCTGGAAGGAGCCCTCACCCCTGTTCTGTCCTGCCCCCTCCCCACCCCCGAGACAGGTCCACGTGAGCCAGCGAAGAAGGGGGAACCTTTCCTGCCCAGCGGCTGGGGCCTGGGGCAGGGCCAGACGGGCCAGGGCCTTGAGTGGACACCAGGCCACATGGCATGTGGCCACCTGGAAGGCAGAGAACAGAATCTGCTGGACAGAGTGTCCATGCACTCTGGGACCCCGAGTCTATCGCTGGCATTGTCTGGCAGGAGCCCTGGGACCAATGCTCAGCTACCCCCCGGGGGCTCAGGGAGGCGGTACCTTGTGCCCTTCATAGCGCCGCCTTCTGCTCATCCGGTAGGGCCACACGGCGGAGAAGAGGGCCAGGTAGTTGCCATTGGTCTGCGCCAGGAACACAGGCTCCCGCGGGTGCAAGGCGAGGCTGGGGCAGGTGTACCTCTCCTGAGAGACAGCGGGGCCACAGAGAGGATCAAGATTGCTCCGGGCCAGGCCTGCTGCCTCTGCCCGTGGGGCCCTGCACCCTCCTCCCGGACCTTGGCTCGGGGTCTGTATGAGTTTCTTGTTGCTGCTGTAACCAACTCCGCAAATCTAGTCACTTAAAATGGCACCAAGTCATCATCTTACAGATCTGGAGGCAGATCGACCAGGTCTCTCCGGGCTAATCAAGGAGTCAGCAGAGCTGCGTTCCCTCTGGAGGCTCCGATGGAAACGTGTTTCTCACACTCCAGCTTCTAGGGTTCACTTGCCCTCCTGGCCCACAGCTCTGGGGTGGACAGCTAAAGGGCCCCCAGAACATAGCCACGTCCCAATACCTGGGGCCTGAGAATGTCACCTTGCATGTCTTTGCAGATGTAACTAAGTTAAGAATCTTGATGTGCAGAGATCATCCTGTATTACTGCCTAAATGCAGCCATGTGTATCCTTATAAAAGGGAGGTACGGCCCGGCCGGTGCGGCTCAGTGGATTGAGCATTGGCCCAGGGACTGAGAGGTCCCAGTTCAATCCCCAGTCAGGGCACATGCCCGTGTTGCGGGCTTGATCCCTGGTAAGGAGCATGCAGGAGGCAGCCAATCGATGCTTCTCTCTCACATTGATGTTTCTATCTCTCCCTTTTTCTCTCTCTAAAAAAGAAATCAATATTTTTTAAAAACCCAGGCCGGGAAACCTCCCTGTTGAATGGGCTCAGTCACACAGAAGCTCCCTGAAAGCTGCCCTCTCCACTGCACCTGTCCTTCCATGTTCCCAAGAGTTGCCCTTGAGTTGTCTCTAAAGGAGCCAAAATGCAGAGGGCAAAGCAGGGAGCAGTCAGACTAATAAGACACAACTGCAGACGCATGTGCCCATCAGAGGCATGGATGCGGTGGCAGCCCTATAATGAGCTCCCAGCAAGACGCTGCCCAGCAAAGCCCCCCCCCCCCCACCAGGAAGGCGAGGAGGTGTGGTTCTAGGGTGGCTCAGGCAAGCAGCACTCTGTGGACCTCACTCACTTCCCCTGCTCGCCACTGGGACTGATGGGAGCAGGAAGCCCAGTGGTCACACGGCCCCCTCTTCCCCTCCCATGGCCTGTCCTTCCTGGGAGGTTGCACTAGACCCTGAATTGAAGGTCTAGAGGCAGGTTTCTCAGGGTCACTTAGCGCTTCTGAAAACATGGGAAAAGCAGGGAGAGGGAGAAAGTGTGTATGTACACCTGATACATATTTTAAAATTCAGGGTGGGTACACCAAAGAGATTAACCATGGCTTATTTGAAATCCTAAATAATGATGGTGATGGTGATGATGATGACTGTGGTAATGATGATGGTAGTAATTATGTTAGTGATGGTCATGATGACAGTGGTGATGATGATAGTCATTGTGATGATGACAATGGTGATGACAGTGATAATAACAGTGATGACAGTGGTGATGATGACAGTGACAGTGATTATGATAGTGAGAATGGTGATAGAGGTGATGATAATCATAGTGATAATGATGGTGTTAGTGATGGTGATGATGGTGGTGATGGAGATGATGATGGTGGTGGTGGAGATGATGATGGTATATGATGATGGTGGTGGTGGTGATGATGATAATGATAGTGATGGTGATGATGGTGATGATGATGATGATGATGGAGATGATGATGGTATAATGGTGATGATGATGGTTATGATGACGGTGGTGATGGTGATGGTGATAATGATAGTAATGATGATAGTGATGGTGATGATAGTGATGATGGTGATGATGGTGAAAACAATGATGGTGATGATGATAATGATTATGGTGGTGATGGTAATGATGGTTATAGTGATAATGGTGATGATGATGATAGTGATGATGGTGGTGGTGGTGGTGATGGTGATAATGATGGTGGTGATGGTGGTGATGATGGTGACAAAAATGATGGCGATGATGATGATGGTACTGATGATGGTGATTATGAAGATGATGATGGTAAATGGTGATGATGATGGTTATGATGATGATGGTGGTGGTGGTGGTGGTGACGGTGGTATAATGATGGTCGTGATGGTGATGATGATGGTTATGATGATGGTAGTGGAGGTGGTGATGGTGGTATAATGATGGTCGTGATGGTGATGATGGTGGTGGTGGTGGTGATGGTGGTATGATGATGGTTGTGATGGTGGTGGTGGTGGTGATGGTGGTAAGATGGTGGTGGTGATGGTGGTGGTGGTATGATGATGGTCATGATGGTGATGATGGTGGTTATGATGATGGTGATGGTGGTGGTTGTGGTGATGGTGGTTATGAGGATAATGGTGATGGTGATGACGGTGGTGACGATAGCAGTGACGATAGGTAATGCATTTATAGAGCACTCCCTGTGCCTGGCACTGTTCTAGATCCTTTATTCTCTCTTTTAATTCTCAAACCACTCTATGAGGCAAGTAATATTCTCACCCTCAATTTCCTAAGAGGAAAATGAGAATCAAACAATCAAACAGGCTAAATAATGGGCTCAGGACCCCCAGCTTGTAAGTGATGAATCCACGACCATAATTCAGATGGTCTAACTTGATGTTTTTTGCTTGAACTCTTGAGTTACAGCCCCTGCCAAAGCCACTTGGCAAGGGCGGAGGCCGTGGGCTGGCTGGGCTGGCAGAGAAAGGGTAGGGGTTACCTCGAGCTGCTCGGCCACCTGCCAGTCCATCTGGACTGGGCTGCCCCTCCACACCCTTACCCTGTGGGGTAGCAGTACTGGGCAGGGAAAGTGGGAGGACAGTTAGGGAGAGGCTGTAACACGGAGCCTGTGGAAGGCTCTCCTGGGAGGCCTGAACTTATACTTGCCTTCCCCTAGCCTAGAGAGTTCAGGCAGCCAATCTGTCTCCAGAGATCCTGCCCATTAACCATCTCCCACAGGAAGCGACCCGGGACCCCAGACAGCCTAGGGCTACATGGATGCATCCTGGAACTGAAACCGAAAGCCATGCCAAAGAGTTTCTCACATGGAAAATCTGGTTGGAGATCCTGGCAGAGCTCCGGAAGTCCCAGGCAATAATGGTACGATCAGCAGAGTCCCGGCTCGAAGCATCTGTGCTGCTCAGAAACTCAGAGCCTTCCTGGAGGAAGAGGATGTCCAGGGTCTGCTGGATGGTCGCCTTGTAACTTCTCACCACCTGCAAGAGTGGGCACCTGTCAAGCTGGTGGGCCCCAGGAGCACTGCGCAGGCCCCTGCAGGGAAGCAGAGCGCAGTGTAGGATAAAGCACCCCTGGCTGAGCAGCCCAAGCTGTGGAGTTGGGGGCTGGTGCAAGGAAACCGTGGGGCCCTCTGGCCCTACCAGGCAAATGTCTGTCTCCCTCAGGACCTGCCCTGCAACACTTCCCACAGCCTTACCTGATGGCATCTCCTCATGGACAGTCCTCCCCCCATGTTCACCCCACACCCATCGGTGCTGGGCCCAGGGAGGCATGATGATCTCCAGCGAGATTGGCCCCTAGAGAGCCATGAGGGCGAGCTGAGCGAAGGGCCCACGTCTAGCCAAGGGCACCCACGGGATATGAGTGATGCCCATCAATCCAGAGCCATACTTGTGATTCAAGCTCACACAGTCCCGGCCTATCGCCCCCGGAGTGGAAGCTGTATGGCTGGGAGCGAATGTTCTCGGAGACCGTAAAGCCAGAACCACAGTGCACAGGTTAGCCTCACACACACGTTTTCTATCTCAGCACGATCGTCAATGTTCCAAAGCTGCGGCCTCAGCAGCTGAGGGCACTGAGCACCGGCAGCGGTTACGCTCTCCTTGCAGCCTTCATCATCCACCTGCTGTTCTAAGACAGCTGGTTTGGCAGTGGCACGTGCGGGGCGGGCCCAGGACGGGTGGAGTCTAACAAGAACCTCCACTTAACAGATTCACAGATGACCGATGTGAAATGGCAATACTGAGTCAGGGCACGGTGCCTCTGGCCTGCCTGCTGCCCCAGCCGCCTATTTATCAGCTCCCAGGGCGCCACCATGCGGCCACAGCATGAACAGTTCGCCAGTACCTCAGCCGGAGGCGGGGCCATCTTGACAATTTTTAAAAAAAAAAAACTGGAGTGCACAGCCTTTCAAATGTTGCAGACTTTTATTTTCTGTCATATTCTTTCAAATGCACATATGTCAAATTCGCATTCAATGAAGCACTCTAAATCCAATTTTGACGGGGGGGGGGGGGTTGGAGACCCATTCTGTAGATGAGGAACACTGAGGCTCAGCGAGATGCAGGGGTTTGCCAAGGTCACACTGCCAGGTGTGGTGGAGCTGCTCCCAGCCCCCGCTGCTCCCCTGGGGCCCAATCCCAGTTTCCTGCCGGATCATTCCTGCCTCAGCAAATGCTGGGGCAGATTCCTGGCGATGGGTGGGCAACAGGTGCCCACTCTTCCCTGAGTCTCTTCAAAGCAGCCCCCAAGCAGGGCGGCTTCTGCTAGGCCTCTGACGCCTGAGGGGTGATCTGGGGGCAGAAAAGAGAGGGCAGCCCTGCAGGCCTCTGAACACAGGGCAGGGAGATGGCTGCCAACCTGCTCCCTCCCTCCATGTACCAGGAGGGCACAGCGGCTGGGCTGCCTGCCGAGTCTGGGGCTGGGGCAGCAGTCTAGGGCCTGGGGGGGACATGGCATCCCCAACATCTGCTCTGCTAAGCTTGCACGTCCTTCCAAGTCACAGGAGCAGTGCCCTCCCAGGCAGTGTCAGGAATCTACTTTGGAGGGAAGGAGGCAGGGAGGAGCGGGATAATGGGGAGAACCCCTCATGGCTCTGACCTCTTACTGGGTCCAAATGCATCCACTCCTCCCATTCCCACCCCACCCCCCGCCACTCCTGTCTCCCCTCCCTTAAACCACCTCCCCAGCAGACACCCACGCTTCCACTGGCCTGGACCACGTGGGGCCTGAAGGCCTTCCTCCCCTTTTCCCGAAGCCTCTCTATCAGGCGGTTCAGATGAGAAGCAGGACGAGAGATGATCGGGCAGCATTTCCAAGAGTGTACGTCTGGCCTGGCCTGTGTCCCTGGAGGTGGCCTGTGCAGTGAGGCGCTTCTCACCCCACCAGTGATGGGGGGCACACAGCAGCCCCTGAACCCCACCAGCCCATAGAGAAAGGCCATTCAGTGGGCACCCGTACACGTTGCGCCAGCAGGACTGCACCCCTGGGGGCAGGTTCAGGCCTCCGCACCTCAGCCCCTCTGCACCTTGGCAGCACCTGGACCCCCACTGGTGCCCGGGAAACACACTGACCCAGTAGAGGAGGGAGGAAGAGAGGGGCCCTGCTGCTCACTGAGCGCCCATTAAATGCCAGCCACTGGCCTGGGGGTGGTTTCACAAAAGTCATCTCATGAAGACACAACAGTGGGAGGCAGCTGCACCCACGGGGCGGCATGGAGGGCCCGAGAGAAGCAGGGAGCCGGGGTCCTGGGCTTGCCAGCGGCAGAACTGTGCGCGCCCACCAGCACACCACCCGCCTCCGAAGGCCAACTTTTCCAGAATGAAAACGGCTGTTCTGCGCATTTCCTGGGAATGATGGAAATGGCCCAATCCATTAGGGCATCATAAAAGCGAATGGCTGGGACACAAGCCGTGTTATGGGCGAGCCCTGCCAATAGCATGCCATCGGTGGAGGGCTGACCTTTGAAGCGATCGCCCAGAACGTGATTTACAGGCCTTCACAACTGCTCGGGCCCGGGAAAGAGAGCCATTCATGTGTCTATCTGGTGGGTTTTATGGCAACCTTAATTACACCGACAGCTGGCGCGTCCCGTCCCAGGGGCGTGGGGTGCGCAACGGGCCTAACTAGCTGGATCCAGAAGGGAGCCTCATCGAACTCTCCTGGCAACCGGGGCCTGTTGGGTAAGCAGCTATTTGGCCAAAGGTCTAAGGCTTTGGGGAAAGTGGGAGACAGGGTCATGATCATTCAGTGGTGATGAAAGCCACCTGATGTCCTGAAAATCTGCCAGCTGCATGGCCCACCAGGCACTGGGTAATGGGCTCCCTGGGGCTCATCAAGGGCACTTCCAAGGGCGTGGGGCTGGGGTGGCTCCGGTCCTGGCCCAGCTGCTGGCGTACCGTGTGCAGGGAGCCCCTCCCTCTCTGGTCCGGTCTTTGAGTCAGCACCACCAGGAGCCCTGGCAGCACAGTGGGCCTCTGGGCCTCAGCACTGCGGGCGCCAGCTGCCCTCACCACACCCCTGCCAGCCCTCTACCCAACCGGAGGGAGAGGCGAGGGCACCCTGCTCCTGGCTCCGCAGGGCCCTGTGCTCCGTCAGCCCACGGCCCAGGCCACCCCAGGACTTGAGCCCCTGGGACAGATCGCACATTTCCGGGCCCCAGCCAGCACCGGACCGCACACCGCAGGCATCAGCCGGTTACTGAGCTCATGTGTGGATAAACAAACGGACCAATGAACAAAAGAACAACTTGAAAAGTAGTGACCTTCAGGCCTCTGATTGGGGCTGAGGCAACGCCCACCGAGCGGCTGACCCCGGCTCCAGCAGGCGCGGGAGATGACATTCATCCACAGAGTGCGCCTGTGGCCTGGGACACGGGGACAAAGGAAACCTGACTTCCCAAGGAGCTCCGAGACCTTGGCAGGGTGGGAGGGCAGGACAGAGCAACTGTGCCCAATGCCACATCGCACTGCCCAATGCCCAGTGGAGGCAGACGCCCAGGTATCAGAGCCTGGAGGCCTGTTACTGGCTGCATGGCCCTGGGCAAGAACCTGCATCTGCTTCAGTCGCCACCCCGACGGTGGGACAATAACAGGACCTCTGGCTTGGGAGTAAACGGGGGCGTGTACTCAACACCTGGCTCAGCGGCCACCAGGCAGCCGATGCTCTCAACCTCCTCCTCCGGGGTCGGCAACAGCTCGAGTCCCCAGGACGGGCCGTGAGTCCCTGGGCAAGTCCCTTCTCCCCAGATTTCAATTCCTCCCCTAGAAATGAACATGTTGGCCTCTTCCCAATGCTTGGATGCGAGGGGTCTGTGCATACGGCAAACTGGAGGAGTGAGTGGGGCCACTGTCTATGGTCCAAATCCTGTCACACCGGACGGGGTCAAACGTTCACATCAAAAAGAAACCATAAAGCTATGAGGAGAAAACAGGATTGAATTTTCCTATGACCTGGAACTGGAGGGAAATTTCCTGGCTATGACTCCAAGGCCAGAAGCAATAAGACAAAAGATGCGTAAATCTGACTATGGGATGATGATGATGATGATGATGACTGTGGCATGGCATAAAAACAAGTAAATAAATAAAAAAGACATACGAGAGAAATATTTGCAACTTATATTAGAGGCAAAGGTCACTACCCCTAAAATACAGTTTCTAAAAATAGATGAAAGTGACCAATAGCTCTACAAAAAAGTGAGCAAGAAAAGTGAACAGAAAGGTCAATAAAATGTAATTGGTCCTTCGACCTCACAAGAAATGATCTTTAAAAAAAAAAAAAAATCCTCACCCGAGAATATTTTTCCATTTATCTTCAGATAGAATGGAAGAGAGAGAGAGAGAGAAACATCGACGTGAGTGAGGCACACTGACTGGTCGCCTCCCGCAAGACCCTGACCAGGGCCGGGGACCAAACTGCAACCGAGGTACATGGTGCCCTTGACCGGAACTGAACCCGAGACTCTGGTCCATGGGCCAGCACTCTAACCACTGAGAGAAATCAGCCGGGGCAAGAAATGACCACTTAAATTACACAAGGTATCATTTATTACCTATCATATTAGCAAACTCCACAAGTTTGAACACACACTTCGTTAGCCGGCTGTGGGGCATGAGTGGCACAGAGGTGACCAGTATGAGCCCTGTGCAGAGAACTGGGCAACACAGACATGGCGCCACCGGCTCGGCATGCAGCCGAGAGCAGAGCCCACAGCCACACGGAAGGGACCGGTCCCAAAGCGGCACTGGCAGTGCGCCCAGACAGGAGCCGAGGCCACTGAAACCAGCACTACTTGAAAGAGTACAAACTTCAGAAGGGCCAGAAGAAACATCAGCAAGGGGTCGGCACATCCCCATTCCGGATGCTCCGCGGCCATGGAAAACTCAGCTCCCCTCCCTGCCTGCTTTGGGGACCTCCAGATACACACCGCACAGTGCAAAAAGCAACGCAGGAGAAAAGGGGTGGAAAGTAAACAGAA